CATGCATGTCTTAATGCATTTTTTTCCCTACACTAGAGTTAATAGTAGTGGAAAGTCTACCCAATCTACTAAAGGTAAAGATATCATAAAAAAAGCTCAGTGCAGCAAAAATGCAGAAAGCATCAGTCAGGGGAATCTCAGCAGTAGAGAAACTTTTCAGAAAAAACTAGAAAAAGCAAGGTAACATAAGAAATGGAAAAAGCCTTTGTTCTCATCTTTTTAAGGTACCACTCAGGTGATTTTCTTTTTAACTAAACTTTTGTCTGCTCTGGTGTAGATCTGGTGTTGGTTCTCAAAAGGAGAACAGTGAATCTAGTCCTGGTCAAGAGGAGTCAAATACCACCCAGGTTGACACTGCTGGCAGTCACCACTCACCAGGAGGTGAAGGCTCACAATGTGCTCCACATTCCAGCAAGGCAGCAGGCCCCAGCAGTAGCAGGGAAAGCTTAATGAGGAAACTAGATCAGATTCAGTATGATACTAAACCATTTTTCTGACATTTGCCTGGCCCTCACACTTGTTTTTCTGCAATTAATATTTTGTCTCTTCACTTGTAGATTTGATGCAGATGCAAAAAAGGACAGTGGATCTAGTGCTGCTCTAAGCAAGTCAGGATCTACATTGGCAGTTGGTTTGGACAACCCGATTCCAGATGCTGAGCAGGCCTCCACAATTGTCAATCCAATCAACAGTGAGATCAGCAGCTTGGAAATGTTTTCAAGGAAACAAGACAAATTTAGGTAATGGATTACGTTGCTTATTCAGAAGGTTGTTGCACACATTGTTTCGACTTACCTAATATTGTATCTTCTTTTTGTATTGTAGGTTTGATTTTGAATCTCAAAAGGGAAATAGCAAATCTAGTCCTGTAAGAGGCAACTTCAACTCTGCGAGAGATGTTATTGAACAGTCTGCTGCAGAACAGCCTAATGGTGCTAATCAACAAAGGTACATCCAGGAATATTTTGCATTTTTTCTTCTTTTGACTCATGAAGTACCCAATCTATTTTAAATATTTAAATTTAGGAAATTATTACATTTATAAATGCATTTTATCTTTCATCTATATTTGCATTGAGTTTTTGCCTGTAGCTTTACAACAAATTATTTTCTAAATTTAGCCCATTTTTCATCCCTAGCTCAACTCTATATCATACTGGAGGAGAAAGTGACAGGTCTGGCCTTGACAGTCCCGATGAATCTGAATCTATTTCTTATTCAGGTGGTGAAAGTCCTCCCAGGTATGTTGCTTTTAATTATATCTGCTGTTGACATTTTGTTCCTGCAGTTAATCTAATTATTGTTGTCTTTGCAATTTCAGTGTACATTCTGAAATTCTAGATTCAAGACCAAAATCCAGCCTAAGGTATCTATTAAAATGCTCATTTTGTCTATGCAGATTCATTATTGTACTTCACTTTGATTTTATTTTGAATATTCTGCTTTAGTTCTGATTCAGGAGTTCAAAATCTCTTTTCCGTCAAGGATAGTAGGTCTCTATCTCAGTCGCCTGGACCATCCAGCTTGGAAGATAGACTTGGTTGGTGAAGTTGTTCCTTAAATAAGTGAAGGAACCAAATCTTGTTTACTGTAAACAGTTATCTGTCATAAAATAGTTTCTTTTCTGTCCATATTGCAGCATACATGGAAGCTGACATTGTGCACATTAAGCAATCCATCAAGGATAGCAATGCCAAACTTACTGAACTTAGCATTAACGTGGCCAGAGTTGTTAGAGCTGTCTTACCAGGGGAGAAAGTGATCACCCTGCCACCAGGAATAGAAAGTGGCTTGCCCTTGAAAACCCTAGACCACATTGATGCGTTTGCAGTTTGGTGTGACAAACCACACAACAGGGATGCTATTGTAAGTTGACCTAAAAGAATACGTTTCATACTGATGTACTGCATTTTACTAGTTTTTTTAGCTTATTTTCTTACATTTCCTAACCCTTTTTTCATTTGGGAACCTCTTTTCATCTTATCAAATATTGTAATACACTTGTTTTGAATCTAATAATTAATTACCTCTAATGTTTGAAGGTGGAGTATTTGAGCCAATTGCCCCTTGGTGGCAGTGAGTACCAGATTGGCATGAAACTTATGGATGAGGTCATGTCTAACTACCTTGGCAGTCACTACTCTTTTATGGGGAAATCCTTCAAACTGCCCTTTGTTGACACCGTGCTTTTTTCAGTTGTGAAAGGTGGGTTTCGTTCAATTAACCATTTCAGCCATATTAAAAATCCCACAAGTCCACATCTGTTCAAATTTATTTTTTTTCTTTCCAGCTACTCTTGCTGTTTTTTGTAAGGGAAGTACCCTCCGACTGGCTATGGATGGCATCAAAGCATGGCTGAAGGACGCCCCAAACAGATCCGATGGTGTTAAACTTCAACCATAATTTACGTCGCAAAAGTTTCTCCTCTTGCCCTTTTCTTTTGTTCATTGTAATTGTAAAAGTATTTACAAGTTAGAATTTTTGTTGTTATTTTGTACTGAATATTTTTTTTTGTTTAAGTTTTGTTGTTATTCTTGCCTTTAGTTTATGTTTCTTGGCTAAAGAAGTTTTGTTATTTTGTAATACATTTATTTTTGTACACGTGTACACATGTACACACAAAAATGACAATAAAACATCAGTACATGTGAATTTTTGTTTATGCATGATTTCGTTTGTCCCAGTACCATTTTCTGAAACTTCATTTTCTGATTTCTAATACAGAGAGGGTAATTACCTATCGTTTCGACGTCGAATCGATGTTGACTGATTCGACGTCGAATCGATGTTGATCGACGTCGACAATTGATCGAAATATTTGTCACAGATCCGGAGAATCGATGCAAATTTCGACGTTATCATCGATCTACGGATCGACGTCGAATCGACGTCGAATCGACGTCGATTCGACCACCCATTTCTCACTG